AAAAGCAGTGATGAGTTCAAAGACCCTTTAACAGTCTTTTTGTCCTAATAAGAAACACTACGCAGAACAGTGTCACATTTGGGCTAATATCTTTCACCATAGAGTCACAAGAGCCCAATCTGTACAGTAGAAAATGTACAAGTCATCACATTTTCCATAAGTGTACCCCTGTAGATTAGGTTATCATCTCTCAAGTGGAAGATAGGGAGTAATAACCTTAGAATCTAATTGTTCAGGTAACACACTAACCGGAACAGAAAGTTCAAAGTTCACGGCAAATTTCCATAATAGTGTTTGTTTCTACTGATGTGTACTATTACATTACTATTTATTTTTTACACTAATGAAAATGCTGAATATCTATTTTAATACCATAATGCTGATTAAACACAACACATGCTTATTTTCAATACAAAATTACAGTAGTTTTATATAGATCAAGACCATTCGAAGACTCTTCCCGAAATGTCTGTTTGTGTTCTGTTTTTTAAGTATCAATTCTTGTCAAAATGAATTTCCAGTTTTGATAGTTTTAGGATTTATTAGTGTCTGTGTATGTCCCTACTGCGAGATGAAGTCTCGGTCATTTCTGAAAAGATTCCCCTAAAACCCTCTAATCCTGTTGCGTAGTTGGACATCTTGAATTTAAAAAGAAAGTCATGCTATGAGTATGCTATATTCACAAATATTGCTCTAAACTTGCCAGTGCAAATGGTACACAACAAAGGTGAATGTGTGCATGTATACTATCTTTACTGAGCTCTATGTTATAATCAAAGATCTTTGCAGTCTGCTCTGAAACACACTGGTGAGTTTCTGAGGTTTAACAACATGGCACGTTTTATAGCATGGTATAGAAAAAAAAACTGTAAAACCAAGTAATAATGTGACAACATGCAATGTTTAATGTGTACCTTGTGTACAGTAAAAGTAGTTACATTACACACTACACACAGTACACTACATTACACCAAAAGAACTAAGGTAATTCCCATTGTTGCTTTACAGCATATGGACTATAGTAATAGTAAGATTGGCAGTGTCTATGGCAGACATGGTGCATTTTTATATTGCTATAGGAACCCATAAGGGAACCAGAGAACTGTGCAGCTGAGCAATGCCCTTTTAAGTAAAAGTTCAGGTTTTTGAAGTAAGCTCACATGAACTACAAAGTTACTGTTTTACCTTAAGTTGACTTATGCTATAACACTGGATAAATAATGCAGTAAGGAGAAAGGTATGCTCGAAATACTTTGAAGAAATATAGACTTTTTTTTTCCAAACATGACTTAGATCTGTTTTTAAAATGCTCTTTTCCTTAAAATGCTTTTTCTTTTCTTTTCTCTGCCTTTTCTTATTGGACATTTAAGAGCAAATCACATTAAGCAAACTATATCACATGAAATACACAGCATATTTTTTCATTTAAAGGTGTAATGTGTAACGTTTTTGGTGTAGTCTGCTTGTTTTCACGTGAACACTTAGTCTTGAATGTTCATGTTGGGTGCTACAATTTCTGAAAATGCCTTGAAAACTTACATTCTTGGTGTGAGTGGAGTCACCTCTCCACAGTTCAGACCTGTATCTTTACTTGAAACACTAGCTTCTTGTAACCATGGAGATCAGCGCGTTTAATACCACACTAGGCAAAGCAATCACATCTCAACGGAGACCGGCAGTTGGCATAACCAGAAATGTTATATAGGCCAGATTGGCTATATTTGGTACAAAGAAGTATTTAGATATGTGGTTTATGTTTTCTAGAAATCACCTTTTTTTGATCTACTGTGAAGTGTCTCTGCAGTTAAGTGATTCTTTGAGCAGAGAGCGAGTGAATAGAAACTCCAAACCCAATTACTCTTGTTGACTCAGGTTTTGTGCAGATGTGTCATTGGATCACCGGGCCAGGCAAAAGCACAAGTACAGAGTCACTGGGGTGTAGACAAAGGCCAGAGAGGGTCAAGTAAAGGTTAGCAAAGTCACTGTGAGTTTGAAATAAGACTTTTATGATCAAACAGGATGCTTCTATATGTGATTTTTATAATGCGGACACTACAGCCTCACTCTCTTTGTGAGTGTATGGCAAGACTGGCAGAAGAAAGGAAAGTACAGATTTCATCCAAGCCATTTTTCTTATCTCAAAACAGTAAAGAAATGTAGCACCCAGACAGAAAAGTAAGGGTCCTTCAGTTCTGTGCTCTTCTGTAAAAGGTACTATTATTTCTCGTATGATCGAATAAGAAACCAAATCACATAGCTACTGAGGAACTACTGAAAGTGTAGTTACCAAAATCAAAAGTTAAAAATAGTTTTTCTTTCTCTTTTTTTTTTTTTGTAATATCAATCATTAAAAAAACAAACAAACTACAGCCTATGAAGAGTTTTGGGTCCTAATTGACAGTGAATCTGTATAATGTATTGTGTCACGGAAAAAAATGGAAAATGCATGATACTCAATTTCAATACTAATTTCAGACAATGCAATGTAATTTTTAAGTGTTTAATGAAAAGCCCTCCATGACCCGGCCTTGGATAAAGCAGAAAAAAATGGATGGATGAAATAGTATCATGTGGTCTTATACTAGTTCTAATATACTGAAGATCAACACATTTGAAGTAACAAATGTCCAAATTATTATCTTTTTTTGTATAAATAGTTGTTCAATTGAGCATTTTTAAAAAATAATAGTTTTAGTATCATTTATTGTGTGGGTACACTTTTGTTTTATTGATACTCTTGCTTTGATTTTAATAAACACTAGTGGAATTAAATAGAGCTTTCTTTTATATCTCCATTGTATTTTGTATTGTGCAGCACTTTGGAAACAGTTTAATGTTCATGCAGTGTACTATATAAGTAAAGTGGATTGGATATTCATTTATTTGACAAGTATACGATGTCATAACTTCTACTATATTACGTCTTTTTTTCTAATAAGTTTTGTCTATTTCTTTTAAGGCAATTGCAAACAAAAAAGTTACACTTCACCAAAGGTTAAGAAAAGGTTGGGTCACCATCCCCAAACCCTTCCCTTTTATGAGTTTGGTGGTGGGGCTGCTTCTATATGTGATTTTTATTATGCAGCTACACTAAGGATACTATGGGATCTCATGTCTTTGTGAGTGACAGGACTGGCAGGAGAAAGGAGGAAAAGGGTTGGGGCCGATTTACACTTCAAGAGGAGAGCTGCGGAGGTGCTGGGGGCATCGGCAGCCTATCCAGAAGACACAGCGCGGTTAACATGCTCCTCTCACCTTTAATCACTACATGGTAATGCCTCAGACTTAGATGAGGGGACTTGGAAAGCCCAGGAATAATGAGAATACGCACTCCCCACATCAGTACCATTCAGCTCACATGGCCACAAGTAATTCCAGCAGTGAACACCAAAGACACTCGTAATCAATGGCTGTTGGTTGCAACTGGTGTTCCCATTGGTCGGCGGGTGACTTTACAAGAGCATGCGATCATTAGGATGCGCCACGTGTGTCGCTGAGATAGTATCAGGCGCGACTGGTGGCAGATTGGCAGCCCCTTTGTCAATATGAATTAGTCTAGGCACAATGATGCTACTGCTTAAACTAAAACACATTGCGAGTATCTATAGTGCTAATTCTGAAAGGTAACTATTTTAAATTATTTTACAATTGTGAATTTATGATGCTTTTGTAATGGATTCAATGTAATGCTTATGTCCACGGTGGTGGTATTTCTTTGTTTGGAATGTTCTACAGTACAGCATTAAATTTTTTCCATACTCAATTACAGATGCTGCTCAAAATAACATTGAAAAACATGCATTCTGTCTGTGAGCAGTTTCTCCACAGATCTCAGTCTGGTGCCGTCAATGCTTGTCTCTATGGAGGCATATTAAATACTATAGTGGAAAATTTTAGTTGGAAGTGGCAGACACTACATCAGAAAAGTTGCAAAGTGCACCTTTAAAAATATATCTGAAAATGTAATGCCAAACACAGACTTTCAAACAGAAGTAAATCACAGATTTTCTTTTTGGCTCTGTAATTATTGACAACAGGCGTTTTAAACAATTCCATTTTCTGACAACTCAGAAAGGCAACTGGAACATGTAACCCTAGTGCTAATTGCAGCATGCACACAGGAAATTAGGATTGGAATTAAAAACAAAAATGGGTTGTTTTTAATTCCACAAAAGTGGGAAGCTTTTCAGAAAACATAATTTTTGTGATATTCAAGGATTTAAGTTTTAGATGGATTAGTAAAAGTAATGGCCTTGAATATATGACATCTTCCTCCAGATTTGACAAAGATACCCATGTTTTATTTGATACATTTTTATTACATTTTAATATAATAAATTTAAAAAGTATATTTGTTTGCATTACAGTAGCCAATTATTTAATGCAAGACACATAGACTTACTCAGAATTTACACCAGGAGCGTCAGTGACATGTAATATAGGCAGAGCTGCATACGCGCTTACTTTTAAAAGCTTCAGTTTACACCAGACGCAGAAAAGCTGCACCTGTGACGCCAACCTCTGTGTATTCTCATTTTAAATACTAAACTTTTCACATTGCTCTTCCCTGCTAAAAAGCTTGGAGACACTCCAAATTAGAACCCCAACCTATTTTGAGCAGTGCATAGCGTAATGATGGCCGATGGACACGCATATGACACTGCTGGTGTAAACTGTCTGACCGGTTAAAATGGAAAGCCATACCTGCGTGTATGCTGCTCGTATGCTGTGCTGACACGCTGTTACACTTTGGTGTAAATTGGGGGTTAGTCTTAGAATAATAAAAAATTTAAGCAAAGCTTTGAAGAATTGGTTTTCTCTTCTTCTGAGAGTTCACTTCATCTGGTATTGGTTAAATCCACCTGTCACTCACCCAGAGCATGAAGCTGACCACTGATTGAGTATAGAACTGCAAGAAGCACTAGATCACAATATGACACCCCCATAGTATGGTGTCAGCTCAGAGATGAGATTTTTATCATCATATGGGCTGGTCCTACCTGTACTGAGGCGGTGGGCTTCCCTTGGCGTCACAGGTCAGAGTCGCCTCTTCTTCGATCGAGTCCACGGGGATGAAAAGGTCTCCGGGCTCCATCCTCCAGCTGGGCCCATGGAACGACACACTGTCCAGGCACTCTGTCACACACACACAGACACACACAGACACACACACACAGGTTTGAGAAGGACACGCAGAGCAGTAAATCGCAGATTTGATAGGACAGACCTCCAATGATCCCAAAGTAATAACATTCAGGCACAGGGAAAGTAGAGCTCCATGAGGATTGACTCTGTAAATTTCACATTATCGGCTAGGTCACAAACTGTTAAAAATACAAAGATAATGTAAAGATTTTGTAAGGTGTATGATTTTTCCACACTTATTTTTTTCCATGAACCATATGTTTTCTAATGCAACAAAAATATGATTTTCACTCAATTTAAAAAGTAGATGATGATTTTTAGATCTTTAGTTTTAAAGTATTGTTTTTCTAAAACTGTTTTTGTTTTTGTCATTTTCAGCAGAGCCTTCTAAGATTTGTCAATAATACATGACACACATCTATTAAAAAACGGCCAATTTGCAGCTGTTCTACACCAACTTAAAGCTACCATCTGTGAGGGAATCTAATGCACTTACAGATGGTAGCTTTAAAGAGTCACTATTTTAGAAAATACTTTCTTCTGAAAAATATTTATAGCTATAGCTAAAAGTTGCATTGTGGTTGAGATTTGATTTAACTGAGCATTTTCTGCCTTGTTCATTTCCTTTACACTGTCCTGACCTTGTGTGCCATATATGTTATAGATCAAATTAGACTCTTGTCAGCATTTTTACGCTCTATAAAAGCTCACATTGGGCTGTCTCTTTGCAGTCTGGTTTCCTTCTACAATAATGTTTCCCAGACGCATACAGAAAGTGGATTGGATAAGTTACTGCAAACCTAATTTGAAAGAAAAGAAGAATAGTATTTATAAACTGTAAATGTTGTGTCACTGCTTGCAATTGTGCACATCTGTAATTCTGGATTGTGTAGAGAAGTATCCGGTTAGTGGGATACAGATTACAGATGGGATAAAGATGAAGACCACAGACTCAGTATTGTGAATGGAAGTCAATATCAAGGAGTGTTTCTTTAAATCAACTCCAACCCTTCTCTCTCACTCCTCACCACACAACTGTAAATGTCTCCCAATGTGAAAGAATCATTACTCATATAAAAAGGTGGTTACCTGCCAGACAGTCCATGATTGATAACAGGAGAAGCTGTTTCCATGGCAACGTCATCTTTGGCGCCCAAGGGCAAGAGCGGCTCTCATCCAATAAGCGTCTGAAATGGCACTCGTGCTGTCGCGCAGAGGTGAGCTTGACCTGTTGAACAAGTTTCCTTTCTTAATGTGAGAATGACAGTGACCCCTGTCCACAAAATAGATGAATCATAAATACAGATACACTTATTTTATCTTCAAAGGGCGCTTTAACACTGCTTTGATCTTGATTTGGTTCTGTTCTATATCTGGTTGAGTCCTGGTTTATTCCAGGTTTAGTCCCAGTTTAGTCTCAATATATATGTGCAACTGCAGAAAATATGCTCCAGTTTGCAAACAGCCAGAAAGTTTTATACTTATCAATATCTTATTACAGTTTAACTTGTTGTTTCCATATTCAAAGAAGAGTGCACAAAAGTGATGACCCTGGAAAATCAGTTTGGAAAACTATAGTAGAAACTACTTGAAGAGTTGTTAAACCACTTTTCAATTTACACATTACATGTTTTCATTAATCCAAAGACTTGTCGACTCACTACACTAAAGTAAACTTTTAATTTAGTTTGCTCACCCACTCAGTTCGTGTTTGGATTTTTCTTGGTTTTAAACCTAGTGGTCTATATATATTTTTTTTAATAGACGCAGTTGTTTTGAGTGAAAGCATATGCAAAATTTGTCATCATGAGATATAATCAACCAAATTGTTTTCTTGATTTATTTCACTTGTGTGACTGTGCTATACTTCAATCACTTACACACATCAGTACACCACTACAATAAAAGTAACACCAATAGTAATGCAATCAAAGGCAAAAGTTATGTAATCTGATTTTAATATTTTAACGTGGACATGATTTATTTGGCTTCTAAACTGCAAGAACAGGAGTAGTCAGTTTCCTGTGGTGGGAAAATGTCGTTTTGATAAACAAATCAATCTTGTTTCACACTGCCAAATTACTATATTTGGGTGTTGGTTTTTTTCAAAAATTATGCATAAAATAAAATGAAAATAAATGAAGCAGAGTTCAACTGAAACACTGATACACTGTTATATTGCATTGCCCACATCTTGGGAAATGATAAGGTCTTAATTTGTGTGCCCCATTCTCACTTACAGTATCTCATCAGACCAAACCAGACTCAGCGACAGTGCCCTGTGGAGCCACTAGCGTGCACTCGGAGATACGGCAGTGTTGATACCAGAGGCATATGGGAGGACACCCATGCCAATATATTATAGGCTGGGCTCATCCTTCACTTGGACGGATCGGCTCTGTGGCTGCCTGAGGAGAGACCTGGACCTGAGAATTGGGTGCCATCCAATCAATTAGATTCACCCACAGCAGCATGTGTCTCCACCGCACGCTGGGCTGAATCAAGACAGCCTGATGAGGAAGCCATTTCACCCCAGTCCATAATCAAGGGCAAGTGCCTGTCTCTCTCGTGGTGCAAATTGCGACGCACACATTTCTCGCACGCGGCCTCGTAATGATGCAATTATGAAATGTCAAACAGCATGGACACGCACATGGCAGTAGTGTATACCCACAACAGACAGGAGGCATAACACACAGTAGTAAAGTCAGTGCGGCACCTGCATGGGTCTAAGGGTGCACTCACTCTTGCACTGGGACTGAACAGGGACTAAACCCAGAAACCCTGGGCAAGACCAGTACTTAAGGTTGGGGTTTAGTGATATGTCTCAAATTGGTCATTATTTTATGTATTTATTTTTCAGTTTTAAAGTCACATGGTTGCATTTCATCCTTCAAAATCTAACTAAACTCATACTTTTACTAACAGGATTAGCTGTGGACCTCTTGATTAAAAAGACCGAAGTATACTGATGATTAGAAGTGAGACATAATTGCAAAAGTCTACTTAAAGCAACTTTCTGGAGGTGGAATGTCACCTGCATGATTCCATGGAAACAACCAAAAGGCCCTTCTCCAGGTTAAACAAGGGTCAGGTTTGTGGAGATGCGGCCTGCTCACAGTTAAGGATGCATGTTTTTCTTTGTTTTGCTTTTGTTTAAATCTATTTTGAACAAAAAATACATACTAGTTTAACCAGAACTGGAACTGCATAAAACCAAACAGGGCTCAAACCAGGACCAACCCAAGACAAGCCATGAGTGAGTTCCACACTTATTCTCTCAAGAGGTGTTCGAGATATATTAAGGCCACGGACAGATAATAACAGCAGCTGCTAAATGTCATCTCTCTGCCCACACGCGCAGCAAAGCAAACATTTAAAACTCCCCAGCACTGCGCTCACTCACTCTCTATTTAACACACATAGGCGGTGATGTACGGCTCATTTGTGGCCTGATCCCTGGTTCACAACGCTACTTAAAGAGCAGCTAATTGTTTGTCAGCTGCCCCCTTGGATGTCAAAATCACACACGTGGGGTCTGAGCAAGGATTTCTCTCCCAAACCTTTCATGTTTTTGGCTCACTTCCGTTTTCCCGTTCTTTCAAAGTCTGCAAAATTGGATTGGTATGCTGGCTGTCATGAAGCGCTCCTGGATGCCTCACTGATAGGGCCCTTTCTGTTCAAACTGCTGCCACCTCACGACCAGAGGATTGGGCTGTGCGTGCAGAGGTACAGTGCACGGGTATAAGCCTTCTGTCGACTTTGCATGTTATGGTTGGTCTTTGTAATGGGGTTTTGTCAAGTCATGTGATGCCAGGCTATATTATTGAAGTGGTCCTTTTATGTGAAAAACATTCAGCTTAGTGTCTAAAGGTGTATGTGTGTTCTATAGCATATATAGAGTTTCAAAGTTTTGTGCAGACATATAATCAAGTTATGTCCTCTTTGGCATTCCTCTACGCCTCCTGTCTGGCAGCTCAGACTTAAGCATCCTCCTACACGAATATTCACCATCCCTCCTTCACATGTCCATCTAAAAAATGTTACCACATCTAACATAAGCTGTCTTTTTGCTTAACCCATTAATAACTGTATAAAGCTAAGAGTATGGCATTGACAAAAAACAAATACTACAGAAATTTAGGCAGTCACAACACAAATAAAGATATAATCTACAGGTTCAAATAATGGTCTTAACAGTTACTCAGTGGTTAAAGGAGTGGTCCCCCAACCCGATGGATTGATTCCCACTCGGACCAAGTTCTGCTGTTATGTCCTTAGGCAAGACCTTCATTGCCTAGTATGAAAATGGTGTGTGTGTGTGTGAGTGATGGGTTATGGTTGGAGGGGGCGATGGTGCAGATTGGCAGCCTCGCTTCTGTCAGTCCTCCCCAGGGCAGCTTTGGCTACAGTGGTAGCTTAAGTGTGGAGTGAATGAACTCTGTACTGCACAGCACTGTAAAGCTCTTTGGGTGTTTTGAAAGGCATTGTATGGTCCAATGCATTGTTATTATTATTTTATGGAATTTATGATCATATTATTCTGTTTTATGGTTGTAGATAATGATTAATTCATCTTAGGTACCTGAATATAGCAGTGTTCACTAGTAACATAGCCAGGTATTGCTTAAATCCTGAAAAAAAAAATTAAGTAATCTATCCTTCTCATTAATGAGAAAATCCCCAAGTGGTCTATATCATTAACAGTTGGGCTTCTAGACCAGGAGATACTGTGACAAATCATATATACACTCTTAATATAATCCCACAATGACAGAGGAAGTCAGTCTGCCTTATCCAAAAACAAATAGTATGAAGCTTGAATACATTCATTCAAAAAGTTGTCTTCAGTCCTGACTTTCAAAAAGGACTGTCAATATTCCAATCTGCCAAAAGGTCAGCAAAGTGTGAAAAATACAAATGAATTCAATTATTAAATAAACATTTTTCTGGACTCACACTGACCTTCCAATAGTGATAAGCAGCTCTTGGGTAAAAATGAATGAATACACCACACTCTCAAAGATCATCCAAAGTGGATGTTGCTTTGTTTTGTTTTGTTGTTGTTTGTTGATAGTATATTTCTGCATTTACTTTGATTAACATATTTCCTCATTTTTATATAATAGAGGAAGAAGCAGCCCTTTATATTTAAAACCAGTGTTTGTGCGTACTGACAAAGACGTCTCAATTAATTTTCAAGTTACGTAACTGAGATTTTTGCAACCATAGGGAGAAGCCATAATCTTATCTATGAATTGTGTTGTTAACAGTAGCAGAATTGACACTTACTTAGGCCTGTGCACTGTATGTGATCTGCTGCAGGTGCACATTTGACAGTTATATTGGAAAGTTTGACATTTCACTTTGAATGTGTCAGTAAAGCTCCAGATGTGAGCAGAAGTGTGCATTTCATAGCGACATTGTTGTGTTTTTGTTTGATGTATAATTAAAGTTTTAATCAGGTAAATAATACATTTCAATAAATAAACATGAGCATTTATACTTTTTTCACTTATTTGTGTTATAGTAGGAGAAAGTGTTCATAGGTGTCCACAATTTCTTTAAAAAAGTTTTCACACCTTGGGCCTTTTCATTCGTACCATTTGAATAGGCCACAGCTCACATAGTCAAACTGATGCACTGCTATTGTATGCTATTTCCTGGATGAAAGCGCCTGTGTCTTCAGAACAGGTGAAGCAGATGTTATTTCTCTCTTCTTAGGCTCACAGAAGCTCGGGGGTTCATTCATGGAAGAAACACAGAAACCCCAGAGCTGCACGGCACAGCGCGCCCTGTCTGCTCCTATCAGCATCAGCAGACCAATCCCAGCGCTACAGCTCTGCCTCAGGGCGCACCCCCACGCCTCATAATGATTCAGACCAGACCAGTCACCTACCTGTTGGTCATTAACACTCCTCGTCCTCACAGGGTCAATATGTTTTTGTTCAGGTAACACTGGCACAGCCTTCAGGTCTGTATAATGTAAAATTATATATGAATGATTTATTAGACTAACAAAGATGTATTGGCACTCACACCACATCCTAGTATAACTGAAGGTTTTTGTATTTTCACAGAAGAGGGCCCCTTCCCCTTTTCCCCCACTGTCCTCAAAGGTGTGCCCTTGTCTTTCAAGTGCAG